TGGTAAGCAGCCGCAATGGGAATTATAAAAAAAAAAAGGCCCATGCTTTGATCCTAGAAGCAGGGCCAAAATCTTTACTAAAAGAAAAAAAAATGGTCAAGGGGGAAGAGAATAAACATTTTAATTACTGTTCTCTCGTCCTTCACTTTGTCCTTATGTGACCACAACCGGCTGTCCTTAGAGAGGACAGTGGTATTTTTTTAAAAAGCAGAACAACGCTGGAAGGTGGAAGAGGAACAGACTTGCCACAGAATTACTGAGTCTCTGCCAATTGATGCCTGCAAGAACTGTTTGAATTTGCGATTCCCTGACCTTGGTAGCATCTCTTGTAATTGCTTCCTCACAAACCCAATCCCACTGACTCAGGTCTATGGGAACTCTGCTGCTGGCTTCAATAAGATCTGCCCCTTAAATATTTAACAGGTGGATATGAATCTTGTGAAAAAAAGTCACTCTTCATAACAGATATCCCCCAGGAAGGCATTTCTCATCACACAAAAGGGTTGCAAGTGCCTGAATGGGACCTTTGGGAGGAGGATGAATGGCCTATTAAGAAGGAAGCCTGGAAAAATTAAAAGTAATATAAAAGCCTGAGCTGTAGAGCTCCTGAGCAGTAGCAGCAGGTTTCCTAGGGTAGCAGTCTGGGCAGGAAGTGCCATGTGATCCTACTGCTAGATGTACCAGTCATCAGCAGATGGAGTTCCTATAGCAAAGCAAGCTCCTCAGCCTTGCCCATGGGTGGAGCTGCTTGCAAGCAACTCCACACAGGGACACACTCATGTCACAGTAACAGCGACTTGTTTCTGCTTGCTGTGCTTGCACATATAGCACAAATGCAGGCAAACCTACAGGCACCAAACTGATGCGACTAGCAGCCGCCTGCTGTGTCCCCCTGCCGAGATCGGTATGTTTTTCTAAAGTATTTTCCTTAGGCTCTCCTCTGGGTGCCGCACAGAGATTTAAAGCAGCCTAAATAGCTAGGCATTGTAAAATGCCTTTCAAACTAAATGGCTGGAAAAGCCCCTCACAAACCTGCTGTGAAGTCAGCCTTGCATGTGCTTCTCATGCTACCTGCCAGTCACGCACAAATTTTGGGTCCCCTTCCAAAATGCAGCCCTGGGAGCATATCCTAGTGCCATGTCCCTCCCCAGCCAGGTCCTGCACCTTACTACTCAAAAAATATGAGCTTGGGAACTGCCACCCTGGATCAGGCCAGGAACCCTGTTAATCCAGTGTACTGGCTTCAGCAGAAGCTAGGCACAGTCACACTAGCCCTGAGTAAGGCACAAGTATTTAACAGTGAGAAGAATGAATCATTTGAGCACTTCAAATTGAGGAAGGAGCTACTTCCTACACATCCTACTGGTGGGTTTGCCATGTGGATGCCTGTCCCACAATCATGGGTTATACGCTTCTGAAGTTCCCTTTGTACTAAAAGGTGCTGGCAAGGCTCAGCCTTGCTCCTTCTCATCAGCAAGGCATCTTTCCCCAAAAGGCTGAGCAACCAATACCTCAGAGTGTAGGAGAGTGAACACAGGAGGAAAACTGAATACGAGGCACTGCTGTCACCAGTGAACACCATTCCACTCTAATGCTACGCAGTCACCCCTTAGAGGATGCTGCTGGCAAAATTAAATTACACAGACTCTTCTTCTTCAATCCTTGGCAAGACTGACTCCAGCAAGACCAGGAAATTAAATTCACTCAATGCTCTGTTACAAAGCCAGTCTAGAAGAAAAAATGTATGGACAAACAACAGTTGCAGGAACAGATAAAAGAAAACCTCTGGACTCAAACCTAGGAAAATTCTAGGACATTCTGGGGAAGGAAACAAGTCTAGACAGGTTACAAAATAGCTCCCCTCTACCCCCAGTCCCCAATCAAAGTAACAGGGTCGGTTCATGTACTACCTGCAAACCTAACCCCTCCCTGCATTATCCAGCTAAAGGTATCCAGCCACACCAGACATGAACACCAGGTTCATCTACTTTGCTGGCACAACTCCAGGCTGCTGTCTTCACGCAGACATTATGTGCACCACAGCCCAGTTGCACAGCAGCTCTGCACTTCTCAAACTCCAGTCACCTCAGAAGGGCAGATCGCTCCACGCACGTCCGTACAGGGAGACTTGCTGAGAAAACCACCCAACCATCCTCACTTTGGAGAGGGGTTATTCTTGGCTGCTTCCATTAGGGTTGGAAAGGTTGGCACAGCAGGGCAGCTGTCCAAAACAATGCAGCACTGCACAGTGTGAGCAGCTGTGCCCTGCACAATCTTTGCAAAAGCTGGCAAATTGGATTGCTGAAGCTGACATGCGTTGCCACGGCCACTTACAATAATTGTTCATTTGACTCAGAGAGATTGCACAACTTAACAGCTAAGCCCCGAAATGCTCTGCTGAAAGGGATGAGTGAGTACAGCTCAGTAGTGTTCCAAGGGGCTAATTATAGCAATGTTGAGTAAGAGTGTTCAGCGGGAATCCCAAAGCTTGTTTCAGGATAAGATATCGCAGGACTGCCACATTAACAGGGTCCCAAGAAATGTTCTAAAGCCAAATGGGCAACACAAGCCTCAAGGCTCAGAAACCATTCCCTCCAAGAGAATACCAACTGGTATCATTTTGGTTAGTGCATTGTCAAGGTTGTCTATGTTGGCTCCAGCCTGTACACAAGAGCCCTTGCTGACTGCAGCAGGAGCTACCCACAAGGACAGCGCTGGACCAAGTGATGCACTGAGCCCACTGCACACTTGATATATAAATGCCAGAAAGAATTGATCTTGCAAAAAAAGCCCCATTATAATAATAAAAAACTCTGCACTGAGAAGAGAGAGAAAGACTTTGTAAACATGTCATAGAAGGTGAGCCACAGCAGCTGTCCCTGCAGGGGAAATCCTCACTCCTAAAGCCAAGAAGATTACAGGGTTCAAACACAGGTCAGACTGCCACCACCTTGGGCATGCTAAAAATCTCACAGCCCTGGTCTTTTCCAAGCTTTGCAATCTGGCAGACCAAGGCTGGCAGGGAGGTTGACCTAAGACTTGGGAGACCTGGGTTCATGCCCTGCTCTGCCACAGAATCCCATGGCACCTTGAGCAAGATCTCCTCTCTTCCACTCCCCGTTTTTAAAGTGGGGGTAACCACTGCTGTCCTGCCAGGGTAAGTGCACTAGTGATTGCAAAGTGCACTGATAACACGGAAAAGGAAGACCTTAGACACAATCACCTATGCTTTCGCTTCTCCACTGCCATAAACTCATGATCAGACCTTTTGGCACTCCTTACAAATTCTCTCTCTAAACACACACCATGCCGTGCCCTGCTGCCCTATGGCACTGCAACACAGCCATAAAGGGCTACCAGATCAGGACAGTGACTCCTCACAGCAATTCCATCCTAGTACAACAGACAAGAGCTGAGTAAATTCAGTGTCAGGTCTGGATCGCCACGTTCAGCCACTGCCAGTGCTGCAGGACTTGCAAAGGATGGCTAGGCTAGTTTGTGGGCAGGGAGACGACAGTAGGGACAGACTGAGGTTCTGAGTGAAACCTGGGCAGCCTGGGATTGCTGGGAAAAGAGGCTTTTCAGCCAGAAAGACCAAAAAGGGACAGTTTTTATGAAGACTGTGGCAAGTCCTTAGATGTCAAGAGCCCACATCCCATTGTAGAATTTCAGGCAGTGAAAATTACACAGGCAGTGTTTTCTATAGGTTAGAAAGAGGAAGGGTTGCGGGGAGGGTGGAAAATGGCAAAAGGCTGAGAACCAGAACTCCCAAATTCCCTTCCTGAATTACCTAAAACTATTTAAGGCTCAGTATCTCCTCCCCACAAATTGCCCAGCATTAAAGGGCCCAGGAAGGGGGGTAGACTCAATGATCTTCAGAGGTCGCTTCCAGCCCAAATGTCTATGAAATCCATGAAATTAGAGCAGCTCCAAGAGCTGTGCTGAAAAATGGCAGTGGGGGTCCTCTAGCTGATACACAAGACTGGAGACTGCTAGAGCAGTGGTTCTCAGCCTTGTTTCATACTGGGACCCATTTGCAAAAATCAATGGCTTGTCCCGACACCCACCCCCCACCAGCCCTGCCAATGCCTGGTCCACAGTCCCCTGCCCTACCACAGCCTTACCACCCAGCCACCTTCCCCCACTGCTGGCAGGCACCTGCCCTCCCCCCGCCACACACACACACTCACACTCTGCCTCCCCACCCTGACAATCTCCCAAGCCCAGACCCTCCAACCTCTGCTCCCCATACACTTACCTTCATCCAGCTGCTGGGGCTGCTCCCACGACCCTGCCTGGCTGCATGCTGGCCATGCCCCAAGCAGCTGCTTGCAGGCTGAAATGCTGCCACTATACAAGAGGAAACCTGCACTTTCCTGCACTTTTCTGACCCTTGCTCACGATCCTTTGAAACGTTCTTGTGACTCACTTTTGGGTAGTGACTGATGGGTTGAGAAACACTGTGCTGGAGCATGCTCCAACGTGCTGTATTTGCTCTGTGTTGGAGCAGTCTTGCTGCATATATATTGGTGCCCAAAGTGTCCATTAAACAGAGAGGTCACTGAAGTGACAGACAGGCTAAGGAAGGTTTCCAAAACAGTACAGCGAGCCAGTGACAGAGTTGGGAGCTGGCTCCCTGCAATAGCACGTTTAGCCCCAGCATCATCCCCAAGGACTGCTGCTGAAATCTGTGAATGGAAACAGTCTGGCACACATTTGGTTGCTTGATAAGTAAATGATCATGAAATATGTGGACATCGTTCCACAGACAGTATAAGCAGTCACCTCTGTAAATGCTAACAAGACAGCTCCTGCATGCAGTAGAGTTTATCTAAGGGCCCCTTGCTGTTAAAAAGGCAATGAAAACTATGGTCCTGATCCTGGAACTCCTAAACAAAGGGACAAGACAAAGCCTTGAACTAATCTACAGAGTAGCCCAAGTAGCTCCCAGTGAGTAGAGCATCTCAACGCAGTTAACTAGCTTCCGCCCAATGACTTACGGTCGTGAGTGTGCGGTCTCGTAGCGCTCGAAAGCATGTGAGAGGTCGTGCTTGTTGTTCATGTAGCACTGCGTGCACAGGTCGTAGTCAAAACACGCCTTGCATTTCCACCGCATTCCCCTGATCCCATGCTTCTTGCAGCAGTCGCAGATGATGTTGGGATGGCGCACACCTGAAACACACACACAACTCAGGCCCTGTTTCCATGTCAGGCAGGCAGATAGGATGGACTCAGCTCTGCTTGCAGGGATTCAAGGGGAAAAGAAAAAAATGCTGCTGTGATGCTTGCAGTTCAAAAAAGTATGTTCATGTGCAAGGAAATTTCAGGTTACTAAGACAGTTTGGTTAAATTTTCCTACCCACATCAGCCTAGGATAAGATTGTTAATGACATTATGCTATTTATTCCTTTAAATCATATGCCTTTAAGAGGTGGAGGGAGCCTGGGAACAAGAAAGCTATTTAAAATGTACAGAGGTTTTAGGAAGCCTTCCAAAGACACCAATCACTGTGGCTAAAAACAGATGTTGGATTTCTCCCAGAACAAAGCCTTTTATTCTGGGATCCTACAGATGTACAAGCCCATTGTCCCACTAAGTAACTGTGAAGTACTGAGATAACACTTCCTCCCCCCACAGGTTAATCAGGGCTAATTCAAGTTATTTACCATTCAAACTGTGTGTAAAGGGCTGTCTAGCACTTGTTTTAACATCGGACAATCAGACCTGGGATAAACCTGATGTCTGTTTTTAGCCTTAATGCTGCCAAGGTCTTTTGGCAGACTTCTAATCTTCTACCCAAGAACCCTGCCTGGTACTGCAGTATCTGAGTGTCTCAGTCTTCAGTGTATTTAACTGGACTTGGATCTGGACACCTCAAAACATTTCACAAGATGAACATCTTAGACAGCCCCCTGCATGAATGTGGTGTCCAACAAACACACAGCACTTAATCCATATATTGAGCAATAATACCAGACAGTGACTCCTAGATTTGGATGCCATACGAAGGACAGATCCTCACCTAGTTCAATGAAGTAGGCACTAGTCACCCATTGCAGCAATGGAGGTGTGAGGCATTAAAAGAGACTAAGGGAGGGACAGTGCATAGAAGCAGCTTTTAAGCTCCTCTGCCCCCTCGCTCCAGCCCCCATGAAGGTTTTGTTCAAACAAACCCCAGTTGATTTCCCAAGGCCACAGCTTTGAAATGTCAAAAAGCCAGGAGCAGCACATGCAAGAGGGAGGTCTCTACCTTCCCTTGCCAAATCAATTCCCTAATTTAATTAAAAGCAATTGAAATTGAGGCCACAAGTCTCTTGTTTCCCTCTCCCTTCATTCCTCTACCTCCCTCTGAGTACTGGCTCAAGGCTATTGCTTGGAAAAAGTTTACAGAGTCCAGGAAAATTTAGGAAACTCTTCCAACCTGTTCAGTTTCTAGAACCATTTGGGATTATTTTACAGAACCAGTTCCCTGCTGCTGCAGGGGCCTGAGACATTGGCAGTGCCCTTCACTCTCTTGCTGTATTTTTTTTTGGGTGCTTTAAGACTGTAGTGCACAGGACGTGCGTTGCCTGAAGTCCTTTGAGAAGCCTGCACTGGATATGACCCAGGGCTGGTCCCTTCTAGTTCCATGTTTCTATGTAAATCTTGCTACTTATGCAGGCACCTAGGCAGAAGCAAACTAGTTTGCAAGGCTGCTGGACACCTGCAGCTCCCCTGTGGTCCAAGGTTACATAGCTGCATTGAAAAATCAGGGTACTTCTATTTTAGTGCCTAGGTGTTTTAGGCACATGGTTCTGACCCTCTTTCAATATCTGCCTCCATATTTTCAGCATCTCTCTGTTTGAGCAGGAACCCCCAGAGGTCACCTTGTCCCACCGGTTTGTGGGGGCAGATCTGGAGCAACTCATACTTTAATTTGTTCTGGATTTACAAGAGGGGAAATGCAGACAGATTCTGACTCAGATGGTTTATTACAGTGGCGTCCAACCTTTTTACACCGCGGACCGGCAAACCGTGGACCGGAAATGACCGCAGACTGACAAACTACGGACCAGCATACTGCAGAATGGAAGTGACAAGCATACTACAGACCGGCAGCCAACCCTTTTTTATACTCGGGGTAAAAAAGGGTTGGCTGCTGGTCCACAGTATGCCGGTCACTTCTGGACTTCTGGTCCAGCAGCCAACCCTCCTGTGGACCAGCAGCCAACCCTTCGCAGCCTGGTACCGGGGCACAGCCCAGGGATTGGGAATCTCCGGTTTATTACAGTGGGGAAAATGGACTCCAGACTGCTTTCCTATGCAGCATAAAGCCTCTGTATTCAGGCTCTTGGGGGTCTTCAGGACAGTAACAGCTAAAAGTCACATCAGAATCCAGCTGCAAGGACAGGCAGCAACACTGTGATCAGAACAACCAGTTGGTGAGATTTAAGGATCACTCCAGTGTTCCAGTGGTGTAAACCTCTGTATTTAACTCCCACAGCTTACACTGAATTAGACTTTGAAGCTCTTACACAGAATTAGACTTCCAAGCCTTGCTAGGATCCTCCAGGCCTAGCAGGGATTTTTTTTAAATACATTTATAAAGTCTAGATCAATTTCCAAGCTGTTGGAGTCAAATACGGAGGCAACGGCATTCCTGATTCTAAGCTGCAAAGTTAAGGCCTGTGTCAGAATTGTCCCAAGGACTGGGTGGATGTGCAACTCAGGTTTTCCTTTGGACCCTGCTTGAAAGAAGATAGTATTGTTATTTAAAACACTTTTCCTATTTAAGGGAAGCCTCCAGGAATGTTCAGGTACAGGGTGTGGCGTGCCAAGAGGCTGGAAGTCAGGAAGAGGCAGTTCTGGGTTTGCTTCTGGGATGCTTTCTGCACTTCCAGCCTTGAGCCCCTGGGTGAATCCTGAACACAATGCAGAGAAAGGCAGGCTAAAAGAAGGGTCAGTCTCAAGCTCCAAGGCCCAGGGCAGCTGGATTGAGGCTGGTGGCTGTGATTACAGGTTTTCAGTGTAGATGGCTGGCATGCATGGGTTTGGCACCAGCCTTGGAAGGGCAGATATGGCCAAAGAGGTTTAGTAATTTTTCACCAGCCTCACGCAGTAAGCCCAGAGAAGAGCAGAGCTTAGAAAGTAGGGGCTCCTGCTTCCTCAGCTGCACCCAACCCCCAAGATCACTCCAAGTCTCCAAGATCATGGGACACAGCTGAAGGGAGAGCAGCTGTCATTTGATGTAGGTATTGCGTATGGCAAAAGACAAAGGTATTACTACATTTGTGCCTGTTCCTCTTAATGTCTACCCAATAGTTTGCCAGCCTTACCTATTTGTGCATTGTCGTACAGAAGAAGGTCATAAGCTCCTTGGAATCCAGTCCGATAGTTGGTTCTGGTCCCATGATCCCACTGGACCACCACCGTCTTATCTGGTGTTGTTGGACTGCCTTGCTGACCAATCTCAACCACAGTCCCAACATTTCCTTCGCCGTTGTCCTGATTTCCCCATTTCCAGTCCACTCCACGGACCACCCGCATCCCAACCTGCATGCTTGCATATGGGTCCAAGTCCATTGCTATAAAACAGCCTGCAGAGTGCTCACGGGCAGAAGGTCTCAAAAGCAAGACGGCAGAGGCAGTACATCCAGCGCACCTAGTGAAACAGCACATGGTTGGGTTAGGAGACATTGTACAGCCTATTGTAGAAGCTACTACCTTCATGGCCCTCTTCCTGGGATCTCTTGAGGATATATTAACAGCTGTTACAGCAGCAAAGAGTTGGCTGCTGTGGTCCCCCCTGCTGTACCTGTGGCAGGTTAGGGTGTTATGCCTTCTGTTGTGTCAGGGTTGACTGTGTAGTTGCTAAGAGGTTAGACAATGGCTGGTTTGGATAGGGATTATCTTGCTGTAGGCAAGGACTGGATTAGATGACGTCTGGAGGTCTCCTCCAGCCCTAATTTTCTATGATTCTGTGATTTTAAGTCAGGTCTGTGTCTCCTTTGAGCTGTGTCACATGAGGCATGTGAGAATGCATGGAATTATCATCCTCTGTAAGTCTTCCTGATTCTGCATTTGCTGCACAATTAACTCAAAACCAGTAGATCATCCTGGTTCAGTAGGACCCACCTCACGTGTCACAGAAATTGTCCAGACATATCTCGAGTCAGGAGGGATTGTGTTATCAAACACAGTCCTGGAATATCACACAAACTTCTCTACTTGCACACAAAACATGAAACCCCAGCTCCGTTAAATGAGCAACAAAATACCCACTGGCTTCAGTCTGACCAGGTGTCACCTGAAGGGTGCACCCAAACAGATAAATGCACCCAAGCCAACTCAGATAAATGTTCTGTCCATAAACTTCCACCAACATGAACAGGTGTAGAAAATAAAAGGCTCCCCCCCACTCCCCTCCCCCAACCACAATGTCACCCAGATTGGCTCTAGTCCCAGCAGCAGCGACAGGAACAGCTGCAGTCACCAGCCCCACTCCCTCCCACCAGTGAACTAGAATGAAACTCAGCTGAAGCAGATGAGCTTCACCTACTTTCCTCAGAGCTGCCTCCCACCACATCTCCTGGAAACTGAGCTCTGTAATGGTGAATACAGGGCCAGAGTTTGCAATGCAAATCTGAAAAGTCAGAGGAGTCTCCCTGTGTGGAGAATAGCTCTGGCTGTGCTGGCTTGAGGAACAACGCCAGCTCTAGTGCATATGTTTGCCACCTCTATTCTCTTGACCAGGATCTGGAGCAGTGTCTATGCACTGTAGCAGCAGGATAAAGTTGATTGCTTCACTTTGTGCTAAAATCTCACATCTGTCTGGCACTGTAACTAATAAGCAGCCATCTAAGATTTCACAGTTCAAGTTATGTTGCAACCTAGGGCTACTGCAACTTTGCGATGGAAGTCAGGCACGGCACAAAGAGCATCTCGTTCCGAGTACAAACTAAAACCATTTGAGCTAAAGAGTTGTCTCCTTAATTGCGGACAGCATAGACCTTATGACGCATAGCTGAACAGCTCTAATGCAACAGTACATGTGCGCACATATACATGCACAGATGCAGAATTCATTACGACAGCCACTTCATGTACTCAAATGCATTCTTTGTAACCACAGTGAGGGCAAATATTTCTTAAATCAATATAAAAAGTGACAATGGAGAACGTGTCATGAGATCTTGAGAGATGATAAGAAGCCAGAAGCTTGCCAAATATGTAAAAAGAAAGGAGAGCCCTGGCTGTGAAGATTCATACTGCTTTTGTTCCTTCTGGTGTGTAAGATCAATTCAAAGACAACAGAGCCCAGGGAAGATTTATAGCCCAATAAAGCAGCGGTGTGTCAGAATATTTAGTGCAGGTGCCACACAGTCCAATTAACAGGGCTCAATTCTCAGAATGACTGAGAGAGAGTCGTGATCAAAGAAGCAACCAGGCACAGAACTGGCAGCTCTGCTGGTTAAATTTTTAAAGAGGAAGCTTACATATGAATTGCACTGTTTTTAGATGCTAAATCAATCAATGCCTTGGTTAACAAGTGTAAATGTAGACATACAAACACACACTAACTACTCCTAAAAATAGTTTCCGTTTTAAAACATGGTGGGGGGGGGGGAAAAAAGAGACATAACCCAAACCACTGACCCTTTAGAACGGAGTCAGTGACATTTAAAGTTCAGCTCACTTCCTGAAGGTTGAGTCCACTAGAAAGCCACAGTGATATGGAGAGATAGCAACTCAGAGCTTAGAGCAAGTTGCCTGGTACAGTGAAAAAAAAATCTGAGGTCATACATGTATTTTAAAATAAATGTACAGAGTGATAGGGGCAGCTGTGCTGTTTGGGACAAAGTCATTTTGCAGCTGCCAAAAAGTGGAGTTGATTAATTGTAGCTACAGTACCTGTTTCTTGCAATGTGAGTATCTCATCCCCTGGGTGCTTAGGTGCAACTAAAAGCACCCATAATACACAGGTTCTGACACAGCCGTCGGGTAGTGACAACCTCTTCCTGATGCCTCTGCCAACCAGGTTTCAAAAAGTGACCTTAAGACCAAGAAGGGCTGCCTGAAGAAGGGTGTTTGTGCCCAAAAGCTTGCAAAGAACAACTTTTCCAACTATTTAGTTGGTGTAATAAAAGATACATCACATCTACCCAAAGAATCTTTTCTACCTTAGGACCAAGAAAGTCAGACCTAGCTCCCAATGTTGATCAGCCACTCAGCCCCCTCATTCCTTCCCAAGTTCTCTTCAAATCTTAGTCAACAATCTTTTCTGGATACATTATCCATGATCACTCATTTTCTCTGGACATTCGCTGTGCTCACCAACTGAGGCACAACTGTCCTGCATCAGAAACAGCTCCAAGTGAGAAAGGAGGAATATTCACTCAGAGAGAGATGCCTTGCTGGAATTTAAAGGTTTTATCAGCAGCTGATAATGCTAACATGGCTTTTTCTGTTGGCCGGTCGTAGAACACAATAAGGGATTACATTTTGCCAGCACACCCCTGTCCCATTCACTCACTTCAATGTTTTGTCAGTTCAGCAGCTTCATTTGAGCAATAACCCTTCTTCTGAAGCAAGACTTAAAATCCTGGTCTTAAAGGGATTAAGTCTGTCAGTCTTGGTTAAGTGTTTAGTGTTTATACAAGTGCTAAATAACTATGTAGTAACGACTGCACATTCAGCGTCTTGTGTAGACGCAGCTACTAAATGGGAGTAAAGCACTGGAACCCAGAGAGGCTATGAAATCTCCATCCTTGGAGGTTTTCAAGACCTAGACAAAGCTTTGGTTGGAATGATCTAGTTGGGGATGGTCCTGCTTTGAGCAGCTGGTTGGACTAGATACCCTCCTAAGGTCCCTTCCAACCTTTATTTTCTATGATTTCCAATGCATCTCAATTACTTTAGCTATTTAGGTTCCAAAATAGTTACTGAGATCCATGAACATGGCACCTAACTACCTTTCCAGATCAAGTTGCAAAAATGAATTAGGCACTTGGGAGCCTAAGGAACTTTTTAAAAATGATTTTCAATAGGGTTTAAGCTCCTAAATCATTGAGGTGACTGGAAAATGTTATCCTTAGGCCTAGGCTGCTAATTGTGCTAGGTCAGTCACCTCCTAGCAAGACGTTTATAGTGCTAAATTATTCAATTCTGCTTTCTGATGGAGTTAGTTCAATTCCCACTTGGCCCTACATATTCACAGGTGACACTTGTCACATATTTTCACCTGAAATTAAGCCACTTGCCAGTGGTGAGTGGTTAGAGATGTACCACAGGAGGACACAGCCAGAACAAAGAACTGCTGTAAAGAAAGAAAAAAACTTCTTTGCATTGAGATGTGTGAGCCAACAAATAGACTAGAAAATCTGCTGGTGTATTCTGATACTGGAAAAGGAAGTTCTGTAGTAAATTACCCGAGTGTACTGCATCTCACATCAACATTCATACATTTAGCCATCATTTCCCTTGGATTGCTGGTAATTAGCATTTACTAAGGATGCTACAATGTCATTCCTGTATCCTATATACTTTATTCTGCCAATAACCCAACTTATGATTCTTTGGTATCACCTACTGCTTAGAGACCTCAGTCGTGCATCAAGACCAGTGTACAAACAAGCATCACAGAGACGTACTCGTATGGAGAAGTTCCATTGATGCATCTGTGACACCAGACAAAGATTTCCTCCATAACAAGTCCTTATCTCCTGCTGAAGCAGACACTGAGTGGTGAAACTGCACTGTCACAGTCACTTCCACTGCCATGTAACTGTGTAACTTAACACTATGATCAAGATAGTGACAAGAAGCTGGAGATGGGAGACTGGATGCAGTGATCCAGCAGACCCTTCCCAGTCCTACACACACATTTGTATTTCTGTAGGGAAAAAGATACAGATATATGCCTCAAACCCCAAGGAAGAATCAGACACATTTCAATAAAGTTGCCCGTTTATTGCAGAAATGGACTCTCTCCTTTGGATCTATTCCAAAGTAGAAGTCCCTCTAGAAAGGCCAGAGCTCAGGAGAAGTCAACTCCAACAGCAGTTACACAGAGCTTTCAGCAGGACCAGACTGTCAGCATTGCATTCAGAGAAGCACAAGCTGATTAATTTAGCAGGGATTATATACTATAGGAAGCATGCAGCATGTTCCAGTGAGATCTCGGGCAGTGATAGGGACAGAAAATAGCAGGCTTTTTGTAGAAAATGAGCTAAATAACTGCAAATCCCAGAAAACAGAAGTAGTTTCCCACACTCTTACACTACCACTTGACACTTTAGGAAATCAAACTGTGACTACAATGGGAAAACAGGCTTATGACTGGAGCACAGTGGTACTAAGTTTGAACACCTTGATCTTAGCCAAAAGACCAAGTGAAAAGTCCTAACACCAGTTCTCCGTTCCTGTAGCACCTTCACTGTCTACTGTAATTATCCTTACCAGACTCCTACAATCACACAGTACCTGAGGCACAGACACTTGCCCACAGTTACTTGGAAAGCCTGTGCAAGAGCTGAAGTCTGAAGACTTCAGAACTGAAGTCTCCTGTATTCTCCAGCAAGGCTCTAGTGCAGTCATTCTTCCCATCACTAGCCCAGAACTGTGTTCCACTTACCAAATTTGCAATCTCAGAAAACGCAAGGA